TACTTAACATTTAACACATTGCTTAACATAATTATATTATTCACTCTTTATTTAAATGATTTAAATATCTAATTTAACTAAAAAATAATAAAATTCACTTTCAGCAACATGGTCCATGTTGCTGAAAGTGAAGAATACTTTTTGGGGGGAAAGTGTACTATTTAAACGAAATCCGACCATGAATAGTAACCAAAAATTTTCAGCAACATGGTTCTTGTTGCTGGAATTCATTTTCAGCAACAAGAACCATGTTGCTAAAAGTAAATACCACTTTTTGCTAATTAATTTATGAAATTGGTGCAAAATCCGATCATGAAGAGTAACCAAAAAATTTCAGCAACAAGAATAATGTTGCTAAAAGTAAATACCATTTTTTGCTAATTAATTTATGAAATTGGTGCAAAATCCGGTCATGAATAGTATAAAAAAAATTTCAGCAACAAGAATCGTGTTGCTAAAAATAAATACCACTTTTTGGTAATTAATTTATGAAATTGGTGCAAAAATCCGGTCATAAACAGTAACAAAAAAATTTCAGTAACAAGAATTATGTTGCTAAAAGTAAATACCGCTTTTTGCTAATTCATTTATGAAATTGGTGCAAAATCTGGTCATGAACAGTAACAAAAAAGTTTCAGCAACAAGAATCATGTTGCTAAAAATAAATACCACTTTTTACTAATTAATTTATGAAATTTATGCAAAATCCGGTCATGAACAGTAATCAAAAAATTTCAGCAACATGGTTCTTGTTGCTAAAAACTATTTTCAGCAACAAGAACCATGTTGCTAAAAGTAAAGAACACTTTTTGCCGATCAATTAATGAAATTGGTGGAAAATCCGATCATGAACAGTAACATAAAATTTCCAGCAACATGCTCTTTGTTACTGAAATTCATTTTTAGCAACAAAAATCATGTTGCTAAAAGTAAAGAACATTTTTTTGTTAAAATGTGTACTATTTAAGTATCAGCAATATGGGTTTTGTTGGTGAAAATTCATATCACCGACAAGCAATTTCATGTTGCTGATGCTTAGTTGCTGAAATCAAAAATTTTAGTAGTGAAATGAGAAATGACTTTTGGGTCTTTCAATTATTCCATATTCATGTCACTAACATTTCCAATATGAAACTTTATTGGCATTAATTAATGTAGACTTAGTTTTATTGGACCTAAACAAGCTACCACATGCATATAGACTTTGATTTCATTTTCAGGAGTCTTGACAAGATTTAAGTATATATACTAGTTAGAAGAGTATCCAAGATGGACAATGCATGTCTTTGAACTTGAATAGACTATTCAAGTAGTTACCTTTGCAATACATATTGGCTCATTTACTTTGAGAAAAAAAGGAAAGGTCGATTTTGTGCTAACTAAAGAAGAGATTAATTTTTTTCCTCTTTAAATGAAAGAAATAACCTAAAATTTTTTGATTTTGTTGCCTTTGCCCCAGTCTCTTCTACGCTTTAACTTTTGAACCCCCAAACCTAACTTTCTTTCTTCAATAAGGATAATAACAAATTGAGACATGATTACGTGGCACACATGTCTAGTATCAATTCTTCAATTATTTTAGTTATTATTTCATTTTAGAGTGTTGATATTATTTTAAAATAATATTTTTTTATCATGTTAATATAATTATAATATTATATAAAATCATAAATTTATAATTAAAATATATTATTAAATACATAAATAATAATATTAATAAATATTTTTTTAAAAAATAATTATATTATAATTATAAATTTATAATATCATATAATATTATTTAAAACTCATCCATGCCATAAGTGTGGGTAAGGTAGGAGTGGGGCATCATGTTTGCCCCATATTCCAAGCAAAGCAACAACAAAACGCGTAATCCCATAATAACGAAACACGCAAACGCGTTTTTGTTGCACCAATTCCACAACACCCACTCATTTTTCTTTTTCTTTAAAAAATTATACAATACCCTTTATATTTTACCTGATACCGAACGTGTATTACAGGGTAACTACCTGTATTATGCTGAAAAATACAATACTAACTACCTATTAAAAGAAAATAACTTTTTGATTTTACTCCTTTGGGAATATCAACCATTAAATTTTGTATTCTTTTGGAATATGGACTGTTTTATTAGGCGAATCTACTTTATTTTTTTTAATAATTTATTTATTTAATTTTTATTAAAAAGAAAATAGTATGCGATGCGTACTACTGCAGCTAGGCAACTTCGTGGAAATTTCCAGTTGTACTTTTTTTCTTTTGTTTTTATTTTTTTAAAATTTTCAATTATCGTGAACGACAATCCTCGTGCTAATAAAAACTGTCAGTTCTTGGCGTTTGTAAATGGTTACCCGCATAAATTTTTTTTTTTATATATAAAAGTAATTTTATTTGTTTTTGTTTACCGAAGTCACTACAGTTTGCTGTAGGTTTGTGGTTTGTCTTCTTCTGGTTAATAATTTTTTGGAAATTTCAATTAAATCCTTTGGGCTTTCATAAAGAAGGTAAAGTTTTCGTTCTTGGAGGGTTTACTTTCTCGACGGATTTCCCCAGAAAATCTTTGAAATCGGCTGAGTTCAGCAAAAGTAAAAACTAATAAAAGTGACTTTTAGTGTGTGTACGGGTGGAGTAGGTTTTTAAAAAATACAGGCCATTTATTTTATTTTATTTTATTTTTTTGCCTAACGCTGTTTTCTCAGAATCCAAACAAATCTGTGAAAAAACTCAGTGTACTCAACACTGAGGAAAGTGTCGTTCATATTGGTGGTTTGAAAAAAATACAACTGACGGTGCTATCTCTTCTGCGACACAGTGATGAATAGACCATACGGTGGACGCAGGGATGACTTAGAGGCTGCAAGCAGTAGTTCTCCCTATCCCGACAATCAGGAAGATGAGACGTCCTCCGGACCATTCGACATAACTAGCACAAAGAATGTTTCGTTTGAACGCCTCCGCCGCTGGAGGGTAATACTTTAATCTCATGGACTCTTGATTCGATTCAATAATTCTCTATTAATTCTAAGATCGTCTGCTTTGAGAAAAAAAAAATTAAAAAAAAAATGCTGTTTATGCCTTTGATTTAATAGTGTAACTGTGCAAGTCTTCCATTAGTTCCAGATGATGATGATTCGATTGGAATTGGACTTGGAGTTGGAGAATGCATTTTTCTGTGTTTAGATAATACTTCTCTATTTCATTTGTAATTCTGTCTGCATTTTATCCTCGCTATTATCTGTATGTGATATCCTTGATGTTCAATGGAGCAGTTACTCTATTTTTGTATGTTACCTTGTACATTTATGTTGTGGACCGTTTGTGCTCCAGTTGTACTTGTGCTTATCAGCTGATAAGTTATTGGATGATTTGGCTCACTAATTTTTGTTTTCCATAGCAAGCCGCACTGGTACTTAATGCTTCTCGTCGCTTTAGATACACATTGGATTTAAAAAGGGAAGAAGAGAAGAAACAACTCATTAGTAAGATTAAAGCCCATGCACAAGCCATAAGGGTACTTAGCTTCCTATTACATTGCTCTTTTACTTAATTAAAAGAAGAGGGACCCATTTATACACAAGTTTCACTCATTTTACTTACACAAATTTCTTACTATTCATCTCTCCACTTTTAATGGTTGAGATTTATTATGACTTTTTAGATGAAAAAATTAATTATTTTTAATAAATGTGAATAAATCTTAACCATTGAAAGTGGAGAGATGAATGGTTGAGATTTTTGGTATAAGTGTAGTGTGTAAGACTTGTGTGTAAGTGGATCCTACTCTAATTAAAATTGTAGTTTCATTCTCTAATTATCTTGTTCTCTGTTATTATTAGGTTGCATATCTGTTCAAATTAGCTGGGGAACGAGTTAATGGTACTTCCTGTTACATAATTTATGTTAATTAGTATAGAGTGATTCGATAGAACAATGTTCGTTTACTTTCATATTAATTAGTATAGAGTGATTCTATAGAACAATGTTCATATACTTTCTTTGGCAAGTGATGGACAAAGGACCTCATTGCATCATCTTGTTGTAGTTTCTTTAATTATCTGGGATGTTAAAATTTTGTACTCTCTCATTCTAATTATTCTTCTTTCTCAGTTCCTCACTTTCATCATGATGAATTCTACTAATATTAGTACCTTCTATTATAATGATTTTTATCAAGCCTATTTATCCTTTTATGTTAATTCTCTTGTAGCTCTTTTAAGGTGTCCATTGTCATTGTATATGTGTGTTTTGCCACTACTGTCCATCATCACTGTTGGCTTTTTGAGCACATTTGCTTTTGTGCCTGATTTTTAGGAACAACAACAATTTTACCTCCAACACCCCATGGTGATTTTGCAATTGGACCAGAGCAACTTGTGTCCATGACAAAGGATCATAATCTTTCTGCTCTTCAGCACTATGGGGGGGCAAGTCTACCAAAGTGCACTTGACTAAAGTTTCTAATGCTTTTTTTATTTTTGTTTTTGACATTTTGCAATTTTTCTGTTATTGTCTCTTAATTAGCTTAATGGACTATCTGCTATGCTAAAGACAAATTTAGATAAAGGGATCAATGGAGATGATGCTGATTTAATGAATCGGAGGAATGTATTTGGTTCAAACACTTATCCTCGGAAAAAAGGAAGAAGCTTCTGGGTAAATTATGATAAGTGCTTGACTTACAAAATTTCGTGCCTATATTTTTTTACATTCTCTTTATAATTTATTTATTTTTTCTTATGAACCTTTTTTTGAATGTTTTGTAGTTTAAAAATGTATGGTTTTTACTTTCTCCATGCTGATTTTCAGAGGTTTGTTTGGGAAGCTTGCCAAGACCTTACTTTGATTATTTTGATGGTAGCTGCAGCAGCTTCCTTGGCTCTGGGTATAAAGACAGAGGTTAGCTTTGGCAGGGCACATTTAGTTTGCATACAAATTTACAAGTTTTTTATTGCAGATTGACATTGTTCCTGTTTTTATATTTATTTATTTATTATTTTTTAATGCAATGTTTGTCTGGTTTCAATGTTTCATATAACTTAATAGATATTAGGGTCAATGTTAGTAATTTATATTTGGAGGATCTAGTAGGTTTGTACCTGTTATATTGCCTGAGGTCAGCAATGAAACATTTGAGTAGCGGATTGAAGCATTTAGTTGTAGAAGTTTGAAGACCATACTTTCCTATTCCAATTGAGCAAGAAGATGGGGTAGATTTAAGTTAATGCCAATTATTTGCTGGCATGCCTGTCTTTTCTAATTGTTAATCATTATCATTTAAATAAAAATTGGTTCTATTGTCCTCCTGACTTGTCTGAAATAGATGGCTTTTTGAATCCTCCTCAAATGATACATAGAACAGACTTTAATATAACTGGGATTTTGCAAGTTGGTATCAATATTGATCTTGGAATTGGTTGGAAAGAGAGCTTAAACAGAATTAAGTTCTGGTATTATTGTTTGTTTTATGTCAATTTTCTTATTTCTGAGCAACAATTAGCTGGCAGTCTTCAATACCATCTCGGCTCCTTCCATTTTATTGATGATAATTATGTCTTGGGAAATGGGTGTCTGCCTGCTTGTTTCTCTCAATGCTTGTGTTCCTGCTGTAACCCTTTTGGATCTTCACATATATTTCACTGAAAACTGAATGTCTTCATGTTGTTTATTTCTTTATTTCACTTCACTTTCCATGCCTAACTGCTCCAGATTTTCTTTATCAGGGTCCCAAGGAGGGCTGGTATGATGGGGGAAGTATTGCAATTGCAGTTATTCTTGTCATTATTGTGACAGGTAATGGAATAAATGCATGAAGATGTAGTGTTTTGTTCTTTAATCTTGAGAATGTGTATGCTTATTTTATGCCTTTTCCCCTGCAGCTATCAGTGACTATAAGCAATCTCTTCAGTTTAAAAATTTAGAGGAGGAGAAAAGAAACATACACTTGGAGGTGGGTCTCTATTGGTTAATTATTCATATCGTTTGCAATATTCTTTTGGAATTTTTATTTGATTGTAAGATGATAGGTTGTTAGGGGAGGTAAAAGGGTTGAGATCTCAATATATGATATTGTTGTTGGTGACATTGTGCCCCTCAACACTGGTGACCAGGTAATTGGCTGTTAATCACCCCGCTTTATTTGCGTAATTGATTATTGTATTAGGTCATCATTTCACTCAATTTTTAATTTGTCTC